TTGAAGAATTTATACCAGTCGATCACCTCGACTTCTAAGAGGAATCTCTCACTTCGTTGCTCTTTCTTCTTCTTACTCTGTTCTACTCTCTCTACACCGAGATACACCGAAGAAATTATATACTGAGATACACCTAAGAAGATAAACTTACAAGAAAAATAAACTCAATTGTTCTTCAGCCATAAGCCACCAAGAAAAAATCAAGGGAGAACAATCTTCTTCTTCTTTTTTCTTCTTCCTTCTCCGCAAGGAACTAATTCTTGCACTTCTCTTCCTCTGTCTCGAGGAAACCCAAAGAAGAATACCAAAATTGTGACTTCAGAAAACCTTAAGGAGAGTTCTTCTGTTCGCAACTTAAAGGAGACGAAAGGCGACATCGTTTCACGATCTTGGAGGTGGGAGCAGCTGGTATCGCGAAATAGTGAAAGATCGCGACTTTTCACAATCGAAGCTGGAGGCGGGAGCGGGAGTTGTTTGTGGGATGCTGGATCGCGACATTTCACGATCGGGGGAGCGAAAGGCGGGAGCGGGAAGCATAGGAAAAAATCATATCGTGCTCCAGCGCTAATAAGAGGCAGAGTACCTATGTCATACCGGTGTTTCTATACCAACCAGGATATTATCTGGCGACGTAACTACGCCGCAACAGGCCATAACTATGTCGTCATTTCGCACATTCCATGTGTGGATCCGAGAGTGCAAAATAATTACATTTGGTGATGGCGTGATTACACCGAGACGGTTTCTCCATTACGAGATTTAAAACCCTCGATTCAGAGTGACTTCTCCCTTACGTGCGATGTTTTTCTTGAAGGGGCTTACATTTGGTGTTAGTCAGTTGTGCTCTATGGGTGTTAAATTTGATGATGAGATCAGGGCACTGCTAATTTTGCCTTCATTATTGGATAATCATAATGGATTGGTCACAGTGGTGAGTAACTCTTCATGTAATATGAAATTGAACTTCAATGACATTTTGGGGTTAGTACTGAATGAAGAAGTTAACGAAAAAACAACAAATGATGAATCTTCAGGTTCTACGTTGAATGTTAAAAATAGAGGAAAGAATTGAGTCATAAATACAAGCAGAGACATATTTAGGCCCAGAAGAGGAAACTTTAAGGTAGAGGAAATGACAAAGAAGAATGTTGGAACTGCAAAAGGAAATGTCACTTTAAGGAGTGTAAAGCTCAAGGAATGCTAGTGGTGGAGGCCAAGATTGGAATCTCTTTAATATGTCTCCACCTGTGAAATCTAAGGTGACTCCCTAGTTTTATCCCTAGTTAGTACTTAATTTTAGATAGTAATTTTAGGTACTTCTTTTTATGCATGCCCTAATAAAGAGGTGTTTAAAAACTATATTGAAAGTGATATATAAAAGATTTATTTGATAGATAACAAGGCATGCAATATCGTCAGAAAGGATGATGTTGTTATTATGTTATCTAATGGAACAATCTTGATGCTTAATGAAGTAAGACATGATCCAAGTCTAATCAAAAATCTAATCTCGGTGAGCTAGCTGACAAAGTCAAGGTACGTGTCTATTATCATAGGTGATATATGAAAGGTGACCAAGGTAGCAATGGTGATGGCTCAGGAAAACATTGAAGAAATCAATGGTTAATTCAAAGAAGTTGAAGTTAGCCCATATTGATAAGGGGTTCTACTCCTGTCCATTCCATTAGAGGTTCCCACTACTTTGTCAACTTCATCAATGATCACATTAAAAATGCATGTGTTTATTTCTTAAAACATAAATATGATGCATTTAAAGTGTTAAGAAGTGGAAGGCTATGATAGAAAATGAGACAGACTTGAGGCTGAAGTATCTCAAATCAGATAATGGGGTGAGTATCGTGATCAGAGGATCAGTAATTTATGTGTTGCATAAGGGATCAGTTATGAGTTCACAGTTCCAATAACACCACAATAAATGATATGGTTTAGTGAATGAATAGAACCATCAACGAGTGTGCTAAAAGAATGAGGTTTCATACAAGCTTATCAAGGAAATTTTGGGCAAAACTAGTTCACATTATAGTTTATCTAATAAATTGTTGTCTGCCAGTACCTTTGAAGGAAGGCTTACCTGAAGAAGCTTGGAGTGAAAAAAAGGTAAATCTAGCTAACTTAAAGTTATTTGGTTTCTCTGCATATATACATGTTGCAGCAAAGTTCAGGAATAAACTTGATTCAAAATCTGTCAAGTATACTTTCATTAGGTATAACTCAAATGCATTTAAATACAAATTTTGGGACTTTTAGAATCATATATGTATTAGGAGCATGGATGTTAAATTTAATGAAATAGAGATGTATAAGAACATGAGCAGAACTCAGGATTCTTCGTCACTTATTTCTAAAGAGTCCAAATATGTTGAGATGAAAGATATTAGTGATCAATACGGTAGAGATAAAAGAAATGCTCAATTAGATGAAGCACTGAAAGTTTTTTAATCACCTACCACTGAAGTAAAGAGGTCTAATAAAATCTTGAGAACGACACAGAGGTATTATCCTTTTTTGTACCATTTGTTTTAACAAATGTTGGTGAACTAGAGTATTATGTGTGGAGGTCACTCAGGTTGAAAATTTTAAAGAGTGGAAGCTTGTCATGGATGATGAGATGAATTTCTTTTATGCCAAATCAAATATGAGGATCGACAGTATTACTGAATAACAAAAGAACACTATACAATAGGTGGGTCTACAGGCTGAAAAAGGAGTCAGATGGTAGTAGGTGTTATAAGCTAAGGTTTGTTGTGAAGGAGTTTCAACAAAAGGAGTGAACTACATTAAGATTTTTCTCTTATTTTGAAGATGATAATTATCAGAGTTGTGTTGAGCTTAATAGCATGGAATGATCTACATCTAGAGAAGATATATGTAAGGATAATTTTCTTACACGGAGATCTAGAAGTGAAACTATTATGGTGCAACTGTAGGGTTATGAAGTTCTAGGGGAAAAAGACTTAGTTTACAGGTTGAAGAAAAGCCCTTATGGCTAGCAGGCCTCGAGAAAGTGGTAAATGAGGTTTAACATGTTCATGTCAGACGGTGGGTACAATAAGTGACAGACAGACTATTATTTCTTCATCAAAAATTGATAATTATTATATCTTACTCCTTGTGTATGTGAATGACATGGTGATTGCAGAAGTAGATATGAAGAAAATTAGGAACTTGAACTAAAAATTTTCAAAGAAATTTGAGATCAAGGATTTAGGTTCAACCAAGAAGATGCTCGGGATGAAAATCAACAGGGACAAGAGTACAAGTGCAAGGAAGTTGTCTCAAGCAAATTATGTTGAGAAGATCATAGAAATTTTTAACATGAACGAGGCAAAACCATTTTGCACCCCCTTAGAAAGTCACTTTACGCTATCTAAGGAACTATCGCTTAAGTCTGAAGCAGAGCAAGCACAGATGAAGAGAATTTCATATGCTTTAGTAATTGGAAGTCTGATGCAAGTTATGATTTGTGCGAGACCATATATTGTATATGTAGTGATTAACATATTCATGGGCAATCTAAGCAGACAATGTTGGGAGGTGGTGAAATAGATTCCAGCTATTTGAAGGGAAACACTCAACATGACACTTTACTTTGAAAGTGTAAGGATTAGTCTACAATAATTTGTATGTTTAGATCTGATAGAAGATTTAGAAGGTAGAAAAAGTACAATATGGTATGTTTTTATTTTGGGGAACATAGCGGTGAGTTGGGTTTTCAAATATGGAAGTAGAATGAATTACTATCACTGATGCTAGCAAGACGATAATTTGGCTACAGGGCTTTATAGCATAATTTGAAAAGCAGGAAATTGAAAAGCTTCGTAGTGGCAGTATGAGTGTTATTCATTTTGTTAAGAACGCCGTTTTTCATGCTATGACAAAGCATATTCAGCTGATGTATTACTTCATACACTATCTCCTAGAAGATGAGCAGTATTCTTGGAAAATATACATACAAATCATAATCTTCTAGATATGTTGACTAAGGTAGTGACTATTGAAAAACTCAAACTATGATTGGCTTCAGTTGGAGTCCAGGAAGGTTGAGAGCTGAGGTGACTCACAATACTGTATGTGACTATGAAGATGATATATATGAAGATACAGATCTAGAGGATATGTTTTTGGTGTTATCAATCTCCAAGTAGGAGATTGTTGCGAAGCAGAGCTAGAATGAGCATCCAGAAGCGTGAAGTAGTATGAAAGAGACAACATACCCATGTCATAACTGCGTAGTTATGCTAGCTAGGACATTACTGGGCGGTGTACCTATGTCACAACCAAAGCATAGCTACACCGGTGTTTTGTTCGTTTAAGTTGTGGAGTCAGGCGTGCAGTAAAAATACAACGGGTGTCAGTGTGGTTGCGCCTAGATGGTTTCTACATTACATGACTTAAATCCCTCGATTCAAAGGGACATCTCTCTATCACGTGTGGTATCTTTCTAAACGTGGCTTTGGTGTGGAGCAGAAAAGAATCAATGTGGTGGATTTCAGTGATTTCTCTTGTGTGATCGAGAGAAGAGTGTCTAGAATTGTTATAAGTTCTAGCTGTGTAGAGAGAAAAATCTTGAGTGGTGCATTCAATACTTTCTCCTTTTCATAATGGTTTTTTGGTGAGGTGTGGCTCCATATTTTTTTCTAGTTCTCGATTTTTTTCTACATTAAATCTTAGCGTGCTTTATGGGATTTCCGTCTTTATTCGATATTTTGTCCCATATTTTTCAAATCGGTGTGATCATTTTTCCGGTGGTGTGGTGTTGATTGTTAATTGATTAAAGCCCTAGTTTCCATCCCAACATAGAGGAGATCTAATAGAAAGCATTAAGGCTTAAGAAAATACATAATATGTGAATACATAACAATTGTGTGGTATGCATATAAATCTCCAAAATAAAAATATAGATAGAAAAATAAATACATAGCGTTTTGTACCACAAAAAAAAATCACTTTGCAGAAAATAATTTTGGAGTCAAAGCATCAGTTTATAAATACTCAAAATTCCCTAAATTATGAACTCATAAAGGGGACTTATCATACAAATAAAATAAATAAAAGGAAAGGTAGCAAAAAATAAAAGAAGTTAAAGAAGCAAAGAACCAAAAATTATCTGCTTCATCACAGAACAGCACTTTCAGAAGAAACACAGAAACCAGTATTCATTCAGCACTGCAACTGCAAACAAATCTTCTCCTATAATTTTTCATATAAAAGTAGCATAATTAATCTGTCATCCTAACTAACAAAAAACCAAAAAACAGTAATCATTCCTTTATCATCCTCAGCAGCAGCAGCAGCAGCAGCTCATCACTATTGGATTGAGATGGGCGATGGTGGCTGCAATGTCTGCAAGATATCAGCCTCGGGTGACTCAATGGGCGGTAGAGAGAAGCGACCATAGGTAGAGCTTCCCTTCCTCAGCTCCTTCATGGTGGCCAGCGCAGCAATGGCGTTACGAAAAATTCTCTGCTCCGCTGCCCCTGCCGCATTCCTCTCCACCCTCGCCATCTCCTCCCTCTCTGGAAAAAGAGCTTCCATCATGCTCTCGCAGTCCTTCACCAGCTTGGAAACCAGCTCAGTAGTGAAAAATGGCTGCTTTAGCACCTTCTCTATGAATGGAAGCCGCAGCAGAGCACCTGTGCGCTTGTCATACTTCTTCAAGATTTTTGCAAGCCCTGTAAGCAATCAGTAAGGATTTGTTTGAGACTATTACACTATTCTGTCAAATCTTTCTTGAACTGAAAGCATAAGCTGTTGTAAGAGACAGGGGCCAAAGTAATATTTCAGGGGAGGTAAAATTGATATTTCATCAAAATTTTATCCCATATATTTAAAAATTTGAATTTGAGGGGAGGTCAAATTGCCCCCGCTGACTTGGGTCCACCCATGGTAACAAAAATCCTCACATTGACCATATCGTACTTCAAAAAAAAAAATTGATTTTTTACTGAACTACAATCCAAATAGATAAACCGTTAAATCTTTCACAAAGAAGCGAGCTAGAGTAAAGGAAAGAACCTGTATAGTTAACGTTGCTGTAATTCTCGAGCAGAACCATCTCGCCATGGAAATTGACAATATCTTTCCTGATATTACTCATATCGCCCTGAGTCTCCATCGCCTCCTGGATTCTCTCCTGCAACTCCTGCAGCAGAAGAAGAAACTGACCTCCATCCGAGCAGGGGAGAAATTTGGGAAGATTGGAGATGAACGATGAAGGGAAATAAAAAGAATGTACCTTTTGTCTAATTACAAAATCTTCTTCCTGTTCGACGAAGAAAGAGTTGAGCTTGTGGATCTCGGCGTCGAGGAGGCGGATGAACGGAGCTTCGGCAGGATCTCCTGAGGGCGGCGCGGCGGAGATGAGGCGAAGGAGCTTCTTAAGGTGCTTGTAGGAGAGGAACTTGTCTCTCCATTCAGGAAGAGTTTCTTCAATCTGTTGATTCAGCCGCTTTCCGAACTTCATACTGATCTGCTTTTTTGTGGTGGGAGTTGGAAGGTGTCGATCGAGTGATTTTATTAGGGGGAGAGAGAGTGAGGTGATGGGGAATATTTGAAAGCATATGCTAAGCGTGTTAGGACGGAGAGCGGAAGGACAGATGGAAGGGGATCAATATATTAATAAATTAACGGATTTTCATTTATATCACGCACTTTTCATGTATTTAAATCTTTACATCTCACTTACTTTATAAATATATGCATAATAAAATATTTTCTACTTTATAAAATATTAAAATTCAATCTAATATAATTTTTATCAGAAATCAACTCATTTATTTTAATATTAATTTGTTCATCATTTTAAGAGTTTTTTTTTTCAATTCCACAAATTTTTAAATAGACTAAAGTCAATACGTTTGAAATTTGAATGATGCTATTCTATTTTAATGCAGCGATAGAAATTATTTCAATATAGTTTATGAGAGATGGGGCATATTTCTAGTAACAAATTATATAAGATTTATGTTAATTCATCGCTTTTGTTGTACAATTTTTACACATACTAGATATCACATAAAAAAAATAGTATTTATATGTCAACAACAAATTATCAAGATTAAACATGAATCTGGAGGTATGATACGGATATCTAGACAATCTTTTGGATAATAAATATTTAAACTTTCATTAAGAGTCGTTCAAACCTTTGATTTCAGCAAATTTATGGTCGAACGGATCGGCTTGACGAGACAGACCTAATTTACCAAAATTAGTCCAATCCAAGTCAAATCAAGCATTGATCAAGCCATTAAACTGCTTTTTGAAAGTTCCTGAGTATAATTAGAAGGTCAAACGAATGTTGAATCTAGCGAGCTTATAGTCAAATCGAGCATCTCGATTAGAATAATCCAACGGGTTTAAGATCACTCGATTCCAAAATCATTAAGACATTCAAATATTCATAAAACACGGTCCATTATAGGGAATCCCTCCAGGCTATCTGTTCAGAGTGTTTAATATTCCTTCATTAATTACAATCAGAACTATATAAATAGAGCTCTACCTCTCTTTTGAAAAGGGGGAGAGAGTTCGAAGCCTGAAAAGTGCTTGAAGCTTAGAGAATGAGCTGAAGTATAGCATCGCTCATGTATTTGTCAACAGTCATCAATCACCGTCGACCCCCACTTGCCGGCAACTTCTGATCTCCCTCAAACATCGTCTATTCCTTGCAAAATGTTCATATGTGCACCAACTTTGAAGCTCGGAAGATTGCGTAACCTTTTTACGATGTGAGAAAAGGAATTGTACTTGTAATCTCCAGTTTATAGTTAATTTCTTTAGCTGAGTCAGACCCCGTAGTTTTTCCCTTTACCTGTTTTACACAAAAACTTATCGTGCTCTTCTAGTTAATTTCTTTCATCTGAGTGTGTTTTGAATTCTCATGCAACACTAAGACAACAATCTATTAATCTAATGTCGTGAATTTTCTAGCACTCACTAGTTTGGCGACGTCTGTGAAAATCAAGCATTCCTACTACTAAAGTACTTGCCATATTGCAGGGCCACCGGACGCAGCATCAACAATAATGAAGCATTCCATTCCAACACCCATCATTCCAGAGGGCAATCACGGAACTAAGGCATCAAGCCTCTACATCCTTCCATCCCGGAAGGCATTACCCTTCAGGTGAAGGCACCTTGGGTACTTCCCTGGAAGACTGTGTACATAGGATGGAGGAGCCTCCACTGAAGATTCTATAGCTCCTACTCGAGGCTCAACAGCGCTACGCAATGGAGATCACTTGCCACTAGTTCAACAGTCGACAAGAAACTCGTCGTTCAAATATACTCATATATGGCCCTCTCCCAGCGAGAGAACCTTTCTCATGTTTGGACTAAATGCAAACCTTATGGATACTGCAAGTTCTACTCATCTGTCTCGTGTAGCTCCTCTAGCATCGCCTCACCTTTTTGTCATTCCCGGCGATGTCACTCGCGATAAGCTACGATGCCTGGAAAGATTTCCCTCTATAGAATAGGAATCGCTTTCCCGCTCGCCACAATTTCCAAGAATCATCTCCTTTAGCAGAGGTGGTTCTCTAACACCCCATACTAGTAGGCTTTGAGCTCTCGAAAATATACACATAAAAGGGGTAACTGGCCTCTACGAGCATATTAACCACTACCAAACCATCATGCACATTCAATGTGGACTTGATGTGCTTCTATGTCAAACTCACACATGGTTGAATAAAAGTTATTATGAGATTTTGTTATTAGGAGATGAATAAAAATTATTATGGCTGCATTCATTAGGAAAGATAGTAAGATACTTATATAGCAAAGGATTAGATAATGTGTATTCAAATAACTTATTCTCAATGAGACAAAATAAATCAATATTATGATCTTGGATTAAATTCTCGAACATTCCAAATTGTAAGAGTGGGAAAAAACATAGGTTAATGCTGAGATGCGAAGGTTCCCCGTCTCTGGATTTTTCAGCTTTGTGGGTGGGTGGTAGGGTATAACAGTGAGAATGTCAGAGCAATCCATGCAAATCAAGGGTCAAAAATGTGTTTTAGAGTGAAGGAGTCAGGTTATTGAAGTTTTCTCTATTAAAAGGTGGAGTAATGTGGTTTGCAGAGGAGCAAGATGGCTCTTCCAATGTTTTATGGAGGGGTTCAATGTTAGTTGAAAATATGTTGCTATCTACTAAGAAAAGAAACATGTTAAGATTTGGAGCAATTGGAGCTGAAGGTCTCATATTATAAACATAAGCCACATTCCTTGTATTGCTTTAACTCCTATAAAAAAGGTTACCAATCATTGTCTACTATGACTTCTTTCATGACAGGGAGGAATAATGGGTATCATTTTATAGTAAGAGAATTTGGGTCGAGGCAAGAGAGGTTCATGGATAAATGTGTGACAAATATTGCATAAATAACTTTCCATTCATATAGGACTTGATGTTGTACCTCTTTACCCTTGACCAAGATAGTAATAATATCAGGGAAAACAGAATCAATAGCCATTTGAATGCTCGCTCACACAAAATTCAACCTAATTCTCTTACTAGTGAGGGGAATGTCAATGTTTCTATTTATTTTAAAGATGTCGGCTTCCATCCAACATCAAAAAGGGAGGTTACCAAATTTTACTCAATTGAACACTTTAATAAATCTTCTATAACTTGTTTAAATTTTGGAGGCCACCTCTTAAAAATAAAGGCGGTTGTCACCAATAAACAGAGGTTCACCATTAAGAACCACCTCAAGATTGCTCGAAGAGATATATCTGTGAAATAATAAATTGAAATCTACATGCATAATATATATATATATATAAGTTATGCTAGCTA